ACTATATATATATATATATATATAATGTCTGCACTCCATATCTCACCTGCTTCTTTTAATTTTAGTTAGGAGAACTTTTTGTCACAGGCAATCATTCTTTGATCTCGATCCATTCATTACAGTTCATGAGGAATTCATTCTCATCATCTTGGTCATCTCTGTGAATGAAACAGAGTGTGTGTGAGAGAGAGCTTGCACATTACTCTACTTCTGTTTTATTTTCCTCCTCCTACTTCCTTTCTCTCTTGCTGCTACCTTGCCTCTCTCTTTTCTCCAGCCCTACATCCTTCATTTACTTTAAAACAGACACTCTCCTCCTTCTAAAGCTCCATCCTCTAATCCTGTTAGAAGGATGGGCTTTGATCTCCAGTGAGTGATCATGTTTCTGGTGTGAAGAGAGAGAGAGTAGAAGTGAGAAATAGTACCACACAGATTAAAGAGGAATATGCATCGCTTCTGACGTTCCTTCACTCCCTGCATCAGAAGTGACTGCGCTATTGGGACAGAGAAGTTATGATCATTTAATGTAGGCTATAAATCAGACGCTGAGCCGCTCTGAGGAATACAATATAAAATGTGATACAATAATCTTAATTCGCCATCCGCAAGTGATATTCTTGCTACGTTTGTGACCCAAATGATCACATTGGGATTGGAAACACAATGCGTTTAGTTGCTTGAAATGTGTCTATTAATATTGCAATATAATGATGACATATAGCGATAATCAAATGACGCAAGACGTTCAGGCAGACATTATAAAAGCATTAGCACTCCTTCCGTGAATATAGGTTGTTGCGCGTAATACACAACCTAATATGAATCCATCATGTGTCCAGCTCAAATTGATTTAATCCTTGCCTTACACTGCTCAGTGTTCTGTGCAACCTACAAATCAAGTCTTGCGGTAAATGTCTTTGTATGGAAAAGGTAAGCCTTAAGATGCCGCCGCTTACGTGTTTGTTTGTGTTCATTAGAGGGATGATGGGAGAAATCTAAATCAGACAGGCAGGAGGCTGTTGCATACAATACACCACATGCAGTTACATATTTCTTTGTTTTTTTTATTTAGGCACCAATAATCATAACGCTGGGACGATGCTTTCTGTCGTACAAATACTATTCACGGCTTAGTTTCGCTAGAGCCACAAACAGAGACACACTATCACAGTGGCAGGAGAATATTCAGAGCTGGAAAATGACACTTGTGAACCACAAAGAATGTGTTGAACGAAGCCCAAAGTATACTTGGTTTTTATGTGTACGCTATGGTATGTGCACAGTGTGCTAGATTTCATTAGATTTTACTATGTGTGACAATATACTTGTAGCTCAAATATGTGCTTTGAATTAGAGATGCACTGATATGAAAATTTTTCCAAGATTGATGACCCGTCATATTTGGAAGCCAATAACCAATAGATAGAATAATATATTCCTTGATTTGCATGTTTCTGAGCCTGATTACAAACAGGATGGCTATTATAGGACTGCCAATATCCTGCAGATATAACTGTCATATCATACATTTCATTCTGATTTCTTAACAAAAAATGTAACTATTTTAAGTATTGAAGTATTTTGAAGGAATTTATACAATTTCGTTTGTATGAAAATATACACTGTTAAAGAGCACCTATGATGAAAATCATCTTTTGGTAGCTGTTTGGACAGAACTGTGTGTGGGTATAGTGTGTCCACTGTTATATTGGAGTGTTAGAAACATAATAATTCTATTTATTTAAATTTCCTGACGTTAAAATAAGATCCATATTCCTGCAATTCTGAGGCCAACCGCAACATGACATAGAAGTCTGGATTCCCCGCCCACCGAATTGATTGACAGCCGTGTATTAACAAGTCTTCGTAGTAATGAGCATAATCATATCCACAGGACAGGACATGCAAAAAGTAGGATTAAAAGATCTGTTCAGCTTGCTGTGAACATCAATCATAATCAAATGCGATCAAGAATAAGTTCTAGAAGTTTAAAACATAATTAATTGACAGCCGCGCATTAACAAGTCTTCGTATTAACGCGTAAAATCATAATAGAACCTGTAATGGATATCCATACAGTAGTGAATATTAACGTGTATCCTGTCATGTTCGCCGTCCAAATATAGTTCAAAAAGTAAACGTGTGTGTGTGCACATGTGGGCGAACAATCTGTATAATTACATTGTGTGCGACTCATCATTGCAGAAAGGCTTGAATTAACTCCTCAAAAATACAAATCCAACAAATATAACAAATAACAGTTGGGAAAGTTCTTATTATAGTAGGGGAGATCTGCTTCATTCTTGTCCATCACCGTGCTGTTTGTCTACGTGAAGGCTATGGCTCTGACACGTACGTGGGAATGGTGGGCGAGGAGGACCAGCTCATTTGCAGTAAACGCACAGGCAACAACAACAGCTGAAATGTTAAAACAGCTCAAATTTCCCAGATTCAAAAAGGCATAATTAATATTCTGATGGGTATATTGAGCTGGAACTTTACAGACACATTATGGAGAGACAAAAAGTTTATATTAAAGCTTGAACAATGGGGTACAATAGGTGCCCTTTAAAAATGCTCGGTTGCGCACAATTGATTTGTGTTGGGACAATATGAAGGAATTAAGTTAACTTAAAAAGGTCTCACAAATTTAGGTGGATTGAACATAAAACAATTAAGTTATACCCACAAAAACTGAAGAATTGTGTAGTTTAGGCTCATTTTAAATGAGTAATTTGAACAAATATCTTAACTTTTGAAGTGCATACAATTTTAAAAGGAGACATTCCCACAACCCCCACCCCTAAACATCATTGGTGATGAATGAGCAAATTGAAATAAAATGTATGAATTGCCTTGAGATTGTGTTGTGCATTCCTACTTTGAATTACTTTGCTTTACTTAAATTGTCCACAAAGGTGTTTTTGTCTGGATGAATAACAATTTTAACTACGCCATTTTTAAGGAGTAAAGAAACTATTTTAGTGATCATAATGACAAAAGTATTAAGTATACTCTGAAAAACTGTGCATTCAACAGGTTTTTTCAAGCATTTCCAAGTGTACACAAACTAAGTATACTTTGGGCCTAATAAAGGCCTAAAGTCTGAAATATTAAACCAATTCAAATGGTTTGGCTATGTTTAAACAATCAATCACTTTGAACATAGTAAGAGCACATTTTAAACAAAACATTGCTTTTCGTTCTCATTGTAAGGTTAAATCAGCCAAGAGCAATCCACCAAAGACTAGTTTCACAATGAACACATTTAAGGGGCAATTTCAACAAGACAAGCAGTCAGTTTGATGACTGCGAAGATCAACATTATTGACTCTGGGTTATCTAAAATATGAATTCAACTGTGAAAGACAAAATTAAATGGTGCTTTGGGATTTGCAGCCCGGTTTTTTTGCCAAGAATGTAATGTTAGCGAACTTTATCAGTTCATTTTACACAGCACCCGTTCAAGGAGATGACAGAACAATGTTTACAGAACGTACACCACTGAAAGGTTTGAACACACTAACACATTTTTTTTAATCATCACTAAATTCATATTATTTTTAAACAGAAATCAATTACGATACAGTAGATATGGTATAATGTAGTAAGCTACACATTCAGCCTGTCCTCAACTTAATAAACTGTTTTAAAACAGCTCTATTTTACAATGTCTTCTTCTTCTTTGGCCTTAGTCCTGTACGGTTGTGGGGTCGGCTCTTTGGAACAAGCCATTTTAGACTTGTCCATACGATAACGACTTTAAAAAAAATGTTTTATACACATTCCGGCCGTCCTGTCGTCTGGGCCTGTCACCCTCAAACACTGCGGACAATTTAGCCTACCCAATTCACCTGCAGCATGTCTTTGGACTGTGGGGGAAACCGGAGCACCCGGAGGAAACCCACACAAATGCAGGGAGAACATGCAAAGTCCTCACAGAAATGCCAACTGAGCTGAGGTTCGAACCAGCGACCTTCTTGCTGTGAGGCGATAGCACTACCTACTGCGCCACTGCTTCGCCCCTCTATTTTACATAGTCATTTTCTGAAAAACTTGCTGTCAAAATCTGCAGACTAGAAATGACTTTCAGCTTCTTCAGACTGCAAATTGGGGTAAAAATAATATTATCATATACTGTATTTCAGCATATTGTCACCCTTCAGGGAATACTCTCCTCAAACTTCAGATGGTTAATAGCGCCCTGATGATCACTAGCATTCAGTAACCTCCAATGGACAACTTTGGGCGATCAGATTATTAATAACGCACCGATGACATTGGCTGGAAATTCTTTTACTCACCCTTTACATTTCAAACCTTTGAGTTTCTTTCTTCTGAACACTAAATAAGATATTTTAAAGAAAGTTGGAAACATGTAACCTTTGACTTCTGTTTTATTTATTTTTCTACTATGAAAGTCGTGAGGTTACAGGTTTCCAGCTTTCTTCAAAGTATCTTCTTTAGTGTTGAACAGAATAAAGAAACTCATAAAGGTTTGAAACCACTTGAGGGAGAGTAATTAGTGAAAAAATGTGTATTTTTGGGAAAACTATGTCTTTAACCCTTCTCTATTGTTGGGATGTTTTTATCCACGCTGGGGTGATTTGAGTCTTAATTTTGCCATAACTTGTGTTTCAGATAGCAGAATTATTTTTGGTGAAAAATCTTATTTTTACACATATTTTGCTTAAATGCTTTGATAAAAAAAAAAAACACTCAACAATACACTTTGGGCAAATTTACAACACATTTGTTATGTTTGAAATGAAAACATCCACTAAATTAAAAAATGCATTAGATAAATATTTGTTTTTGCATATATCTGTTGATCAACCTCAGTCCAGATCAAAACCTATAAATTGTTTAGAAAAATCACAGGATTTTAACTCATTCACAAGTGATGTCACTGATTCAATAAAAAAAATTATAATAAAATAAAAAACACAAAATGACGTATTTTCAATATAAAAAGTAATTGTGGATTGTTTTTTTAAAAAAATCTTTTAGAAATGTCTTGGAAATGTAAAACAACATTGCCTTTGATGTATTCTTTTTGATTAAATATATAGTTTTCTCCCTAATTTTGTGTTGGTGGCTTTGCCCTATTGACTTCCATTATAACCACATTTTTTATTACAAAACCATGACACCATATAATCATGCATTTTTTATTGTTGGTGGTTTTCCCTGTTGGGAAGAGGTCAAATTTGTCATTTTTACTGTTGATCATCAGTTGGCACAATTTACCCTTCAGATGGGCCTGTGCCAAAAAAAAAAGCGTAGTTTTTGGATTTTATATGGTGCAAAACAGCAAATAAAAGTGTGTATGTGTGTCTGAGTGTGTGAGAGTGACCTTTACGCACTTTCCTTGATGTGTCTGAGAAAATCCAAATATGCATCTCAGCTCTCAGAACTACATGGAGCAAACAAAAACAAAGACTGTATTTATGCAACATCAAATGTGCGTATAATGGAAGTCAATGGGGAAAAACAGCCACCAACAGTAAATAAGTGGGAATAATGAAAATCTAGCAATGCATCAAAGACAATATTGTAACTAATTGTTTCTCATCTCCAAGACTGAAATAAAAGGTAAAAAAAACCAGCCCACAATTATTTTTATATTAAAAAATGTAATTTTTATGTGTTTTTTTTCTTCACCAGATCAGTGACATCAAATTGTGAATTTAGCAAATAAAGAGTTAAAATCCTGTAATTTTCTAAACAATTTAGTAGTTTTGATCAGGACTGAGGTTGATTAACAGATTATGAAAAAAATAATCTGATGCATTTTTACAGCAATTTAATTCAATGGATGTTTTCATCACTACCATAACAAAAGGGTAGTACATTTGAACAGTGCACAAGGGTTAAGCATGCTGAATTGATAATCATCAGTGTTGTCAGAGAAAGAGAGAGAGAGAGAGAGAGAGAGAGAAAGGAAGAGCAAAATTGGATGTACAATTTAACAAATTAGCCACTGCATAAAAGCAAAAGTGTTAAGACAAAGCACTGTTCTAATTCTTACCTATATCAATATGCAAATATATTTCGAAAACATGAGCCATCTGAAATGAAGAAAGTGATCAACATTATTTATATTAAAAAAGATAAAGCAAGAGCCACTTTGTTTACTGTTTGAATGCATGCAGTTGACCTTTTTTTGAATAATGAATTCAGCTACTGATATAGACAGCTGTTTTGTATAATTCAGACAAGTGATTGCTGTTTGGCTGTAGTCTTTGCATGTGTTCAGGTGACAACACAGTTAGCTTTCATCGCCACTAATGCCAGTGGTGTGTCAGTGATATAGAAAGAGATCCCATGTTTGCTGGATACTGTCCAATGTTTAGATCTAACATCCATTTCTTTGAATTTTGTTTTGTAAGGAAATTCACATCACATGGAGTGGACTTGTGTATATATATGGTGAATAAATGTTTACTTTGAAACCTTATGCACTGGCCTTTAGACAAATTCTGTCAAGTGTGCTCAAACCTTTGATAGTGTAGTCGAAGCTGCAGGTTGGATTAAAATAATTAAGACATTGTAACAGTTAAATATATATCTCATCATTAATTATTAAATATATATTCTCAATATACAGCTGCATATAGTATTTATCTATATATATTTGTACTTTATCTATACAAGTATACATATACAGTGCATCCGGAAAGTATTCAGAGCGCTACACTTTTTCTACATTTTTTATGTTACAGCTTTATTCCAACATGCATTAAATTGATTTATTTCCTCAAAATTCTACACATAATACCCCATAACGACAATGTGAAAATTTTTTTTGCTGCATTCATCTTTCCCTCTATCCTGATTAGTCTTCCAGTTCATGCTGCTAAAAAACATTCCCACAGCATGATGCTGCCACCACAATGTTTCACTGAGCGGTGCCTGGTTTTCTCCAAACTTAACGCCTGACATTTACTCCAAAGAGTTCAATTTTAGTCTCATCAGACCAGAGAATTTTGTTTCTTATGGTCAGAGAGTCCTTCAGATGCCTTTTGGCAAATTGAGGAGTGGCTTCCATCTGGCCACTCTACCATACAAGCCTGACTGGTGGATTGCTGCACAGATGGTTTCTGTAAGGTTCTCCTCTCTCCACAGAAAAACGCTGGAGCTCAGACAGAGTGACCATCGGGTTATTGATCACCTCCCTGACTAAGGCCCTTCTCCCCCGTTCACTCAGCTTAGATGGCTGGCCAGCTCTGAAAGAGTCCTGGTGGTTCCAAACAGTTTCCCACTGTGCTCATTGGAGCTTTCAGAGCAGCAGAAATTTCTCTGTAACCTTCCCCAGCCTTGTGCCTCGAGATAATCCTGCCTCGGAGGTCTACAGTCAATTCCTTTGTCTTCATGCTTGGTTTGTGCTTTGACATGCACCATCAACCCTGCGACAGGTTTATGCCTTTTTAAATCATGTCCAATCAACTGAATTTACCACAGGTGATCTCCAATTAAGCTGCTGAAACATCTCAACAATGATCAGTGGAAACAGAATGCACCTGAGCTCAATTAAGAGCTTCACGGCAAAGGCTGCAAATACTTCTGTACATGTGATTTTTCAGGTTTTTTATTTTTAATAAATTTGCAACAATTTCAAAAAAAAAAAAATTTCACATTGTCATTATGGGGTATTATGTGTGGATATTTGAGGAAATAATTAATTTAATCCATGTTGGAATAAGGCTGTAACATAAAAAATGTGGAAAAAGTGAAGCGCTATGAATACTTTCCGGATGCTCTGTATAACAATAGGTAGTTTTTTAAAAACATTACTTTACCCTTTTTAATGAACGGAAACACATGCTTGAACAGACTGATAATATAAATCACCACACATTTCACCATGGAAAAATAGTTTAAATATATAGCATTTCCATCCAAAAACACAACACACAATATTTATGACACAACCATACACACACGTTCATACTGAATCTAACAGATAAAGCTTGACCAAATGGAGTTCTTTTTTAAGGGATATTTTAAGTCCTTATTTTTGGACCTCCCCTGCTGAAAAGTGACTCTCAGCAGAGGAATTATTTATTTTTCAAACTATGTGTTTATCTATATGTATTCGTGGAACGTCATTGATTATTGGTGTTACTTAGAAAGTTCTCTGACATGTTATTTCAAGCATGCTAATCATGCCCCGTTTGTATTCAGTCAATTGCAAATTGTCAATTTGGCCGAGTGGCAATGTGTTTTTGATGAGCGTTTGTTAGTCTGTTTCACCTGATTCACTCATCTGAAGCAGTCACTAACACACTACATCTCCACAAAATAATATGATTATCATCCTTACGGGCAGTTATATTACATCTGCACCTGTGCTATGGACTGAATTTGAGGTTTAAGATGAATATTTTATGAATATATAAAGTTGTAATGCATATCACATCCAAATGTTAAAGAGAAAAAACAAAAACACAAAACAAATAAACACCATTAAATCCAAGCATTACAAAAGATCAACAACTTAAAAATAAATCTAGTAGTGATATTTTTTTTTTGCATTAATGTCACCGCATCCTGCACAAAACACAAAGTCGACAAGTGGAGCAAATAATAAATTACCCAAATTACAGTTAATTTGGCCCATCAGTAGGCAAGTTCTCCCCTTTAAAGTCCAGAACATCCCAAAGTAGGGTGGGATTTTCACAGTTGTGCTGTGCGCTCCAATGCTCAATAACCTCTTGTTTCTTATTAAACACCTTACTGCAAAGGATGCAGTTAAAGTGAGATCCCACCCTCAGGGATATATCTTTACTTAGACCCTTACCTATCACCATCTTTTCTTCTTTCTCCTCCTCCTCCTCCTCCTCTTCTGGACTCTCTTGATGGTTAGAATGGAGGTGGTGTTTAAACTTGGAAAAGGAAAAGAACTCCTCGTTGCAGGTGCCGCAGTGAACAAGATTGCGTTTCTCATTGAGCTGCCTCCAGTAATGCGCTGCATGCTTGACCAGTTCATCCTCAGCTTCCCGGCCCCCGTGCATGGCCCCGTCCCTTAGTCGCACCTGGACCTCCTCCCCGTGGACGTACAATAAATGCAGCTTCATGTCAGCAAAGGTAGGTGTGATGGCCTGGCAGCGCCCACACTTAATTTGTAGCTCCACTGGGTCAACGCGCTGTTCTGAGGCCTGTTCATCAACTTCCGAAGACCTGCAGGACGAGGAATATTTGCAGTCAAAATAAAACTTTCTAAGATAAGACTAGTGCTGCTTCCCAATTTGCATAATATACATCCTAAATAGTATTCAAAAACAGAATTAGCATGTCCCAAACCATAGTTTGTGGAATAGAGTTTTCCAAAGGTTCCTGGATGGTCTACTATTTCAATTAAAAATACCAAAAGTGTAGAAACATCAATACTCTAACCGCTAATATTGCCCACAATACGTTAAGCATTTGACATGAAATTAATTTAAACTACAAAGGTGGGGGAAAAGTGTAGATAAACTACAAACATGGTGGATACGCGAGACCAACCATCAAGTAGAGGCTTCGGTAAAGTAGTTTGAATGACTGTTAATCAAAATGTAGCCAACTAGAACTTATGTGTTTTCCGTGTTATACTTAATCTATAACAACAACGTGAACTTATATCAAGATATGTTTGGACATTAACATCTGAATGCATAATTACCCAAAGACCTGAGGAGATTTCTCTGCATGAAAGACTCATGAACAGCATTTTATCCTCCTGCTGCTTCTCCAATAAATTAGGAAATTAAATATGAAAGAAATGTGGATGATGTGTTGAGAGATGATTGACAGGGGATGTAACTATAGCGATCTGTTAATGACTAAGTAGTATGTCCCAAAGCTTGCTTACTCTTCTGTTACACACTCAAAAGTATATACTTTTCCTTTACAAAAAAAGTGTATACTTTTAGGGCCTAGAATATGTGAATTGGGACACAACATAGGTGTAGTTGAATAGTTTTAGGCCCTGTCCACACAAATAGGGGTATTTTCAAAACTGCACATTTTTCTACGTGGTTTGGCTGTTTGTCAACATGTAAACGCAGTGTCAGGTGATTGAAACCAATACTTTCTGAAAACTCTGACCAGGGTGAAGATTTTCCAAAACTCTGGAAAATTTACTCATGCAAATTCTTGTGTTTGGTGTGAACCCAGCATAAGTGTCATTATCACCACCTGTTGGTTCGGCATGTCTTTAAAATGCATTAATTAAAAAAAAAAAAAAAAAAAAAAACGAAAGCAGAGGAAGCCTGTTTATAAAAACATCCACGTACATGTTTACATGTCTTTAGGACAACTTAAGGCTAAAAGATTGTGATCCACTTGTTGAATAGTGGATGCAGGGTTTTAAATAGTGGATACAGGCTGTTTAAAAACATTTTAAACTTGTAAAACTCAATCTTGATAACATTTGATGATGATTGATGATTACAGAGAGCTGAACAGATCTTTTAATCCTGGTTGCTTTGTGCACATCCTGTCTTGTTGATATGATTATACGCATTAATACGGAGACATGTTAATATGCGGCTGACAATCAATTCGGTTCGTGGGGAAATCGCACTCCTGCGTCACGTTGCGGTGGGCCTCAAAATGGGAGGGATTTGGGTCCTATTTTAAAGTCAGGAAATTTGAAAAAAAAAAGAGACATATTGTCTTTATATCACTCCAATATGACAGTGGACACACTATAACTACACACAGTTATGTCCAACAGCTTCCAAAAGATAATTTTCATCATAAGTGCCCTTTAAAGCTGCATTTTAGAATGAAAATGCTCCTCATACAGAGTAGAGTTTTTAAAAATGATTGATACATGACTGTTTTTGCTAAATGGGCAGGTCCATATTTTACATCTGTTCTTGCAGTCTACAGGTTGTGTAATGGTCATATGAGAGTGGTTTGATGAATCAGGGAAAGATACGCAATATTTCAGAATACTAGACAGAGAGTGATTATGGCGAGCCTTATTTCCTTTTTCAAAAGTTTGCATTTCAGTCACTTAATACAGAAATGTAACACTAAAACAGGGTCTTCAATGATTTCAAAATGCTCTGTTTTCATGGGTCAAAGCTACAGGAATAGGGTGGACACTGGAGTAACCATAACAAAACATGTCTGTTTAAAAAAACACCAGTGTAAACAGCACCTAAAAATTCTATAGGAACTACATCATAGGAACTGAACCTGGTTGAGAGCAGAGACTATCATCAAGGCTAAAAGTAGTCCAACAAAACAATGAAAGGTGTGTAGATATTGGCATACTGACAGTCTGAATCATACTATACATTTCTATCAAAGTTATTTGCCATTGTTAAGATGAATCTCTTCTAACAGTTTACCACTGAGTTTTTCTGAGTCACATTTGTGAGTCATATTTTCGTGCCATTTTAAAAACTATAGGGAATAAACTGTGATCAACTGAGAAACGGTTGAATAAAGCTTTAGAACGAATCAAAGTTTAAATGTAAATATTTTATTCTTACTCTTCAACTGAAATGCTTTCTTCATGTTGACTGATGGACGGCTCAACGGTAAGTATTACCCGGTGCACCTCTCTCAAATGGCTGAAGTAGACACCAACATAGCCAAAAGATTTCTCACAGAATTCACAGCAAAGGCTCTTCCGGGGTTTGCTTTCCGCATGGTGGAGTTTCATATGAGTGCTGAGACTGCCTGAGTGAGCGTAGGCCTTCCTGCACACTGGGCAGACATAGGGCCGGAGGTTACTGTGGCTGTTCATGTGGCTCTGCAAGTGATGTTTGAACTGGAAACACCTGTTGCAGGTAGGACATCGGTGCAGCAGACGACTTGATGTGTAAATGACTCCACTGTTAACTTTACAATTAAGCACAGGCTGCCGATCAGTAGCTTGTGAAGACTGTGGTTCGCTCAATGTTTTCCCTGATATCTGCTGTCCTGCTAAGAGATCCTGATCAGGGTTATCTGATGCGGACATTGATGGAAGGGGTACAAGTTGTGGAATAGTTGCTTCCATTACTAGAACAGGCTTGGGACGAATACTTCGATACTTTTTAGATATGTCCAGGAACTTCTGCTGAGAGGCAGAATTCTGCACACCAGGTGGAGGTTTCTCAGGTACCCTCCTCCTGAAAAACGACAAGGATCTTTTCTTTCTGGCCTCGAAGGCTAAAATGTCCTCCATGGTCTTTCTCTTCCTCCCTGGTTTTTTGCCTGAAGGTTTCTTAAACTGGGTGTTATTGAGATCTTGGCTAAGGCTTTCGGTTTTAACTTTGTTATTTATGAACTTGACTTTGTTTTCAGTAGGGTTTTTCGGGCTGCTTTTGGCCCAACTTACAGTCTGCTTGTCTGAAAATGGGGTGCTGGCAAGGCTGGTTGGTGCCAGAAGGGAGTTCTTCACCTTGGCATAGGGTAGGATGGGCAGCTTGCCCTTGGGTGGAGATGGAATGATCTGAACAGCTTTGCTAAAGATAGTGGGAGAGAGGACTGTGATGGCACTGCCAGCAGAGGCTGGACACTCTATTTGTGTTTTAACTGGTGAGATTTTCTTGATGGAAGCAACAAGGGAGGTTCCTGAAGGGTAAGGCTGGTTTCTGAGTGGGCCGACATCGCTCTTTTGTTCCACTTTTTGATCCACATGTGAAGCTGGCAGCAGGGGTGCAATGCTAATATCAGATGAAGCAGGAGTGTCAGGCAAAACTAGCTGCTCAGACAGTGGCTCTGAACTCTGTTCTGTTTTTAAAATAGATGATTGAGCGTGTGTGGTTGCAGAAACCTTTGTTGGACTCTGAATCTTGTTACCGCCTTTTTCTGGAGCGCTTTTGCTTCTCACTGGTTGGTACCTAGGAATAGGCAGCTTAAGGTTCTTCTGGATTGGCTGTTGCTGTTGTGTCTGAGGTAAGGCCACCAATGAGAAGGTCCCCTCTTGTCCAGCCACCTGCATGAGTGCATAGTTCTGGGCAGGGACCAAGATGGATTTGGGGCTGACAGCCGTGGATGCTTCTGGAAGGGCTGAGGGTGGTTGGCAGGACAAAACAGCAGATGATGGAACCACTGCTGGGGCTTTGGGGGCAATGCTGCGAAACTGGAGACCCTTCATTTGGGAGTGGGTTCGTGCATCACCTGTCAAAACAAGATAAGACAATGCCTTTGAATTTGTAATTGAAGAAAATAAGTATATGTAACAAAGCAAATAAAAAAGGTTTGAACCTGTTCTCTTTTCATTCTATCTCACAAGCCCAGGTACCAATTCACCCTGAGGCAAAGGTTTGATCCTCTTTTGATTCAAGCTCAGCGTACTGCTTTTGTTCATGCTGCAGCTTACTTATACATCTTTATGCTTCTGATACACACTTATACCCACACAACTGACGTAGTAGTAACTGTCCTTTAAAATATAAAAGAAGAATGCTTTATAGAAACTTATAGTACAAACTCTATTACTTGAAGTGAAATAACCATTAAACAACCAAAATAACCATTAAACAACAACTCAAAACATGTCACGACTGTCTAACATAACAGATGACTTGACAAATAACAAATTGAACAAATATGGAAAAATGGTATGTTTACAATTACTAATTTGCCAGACTCAATCATTCCTACAGCTCTCCAGTGTGGGGTTGGGCGATGTCGACCAAATTGGACTAATATAAAATTTAAAAAATGATAAAAATTAAAATATGATAAAAATTATCACCTGTCAATCACTTTTTCCCTGGGACTCTGGCATGAATAGGCAGAGTGATCTGTGTCGTTATAATGGCGCCGACAAACTTGGTTGGTAAAAAAGGTGCACAAAATACTAAAGCTAAAATTACTAAAGCGAAAGATTGAAGCAGTGTACTGATGCTGTGACAAGTTATCTGATAGATTAAAAAGACAGAAGAGTCGTTAGATGAGACAAAATTAATTAAATATCATGTTTAATAACTATAGTGAGACGCGATCCAGCGGTACGTCCTTAATAAACTGTATATAGTGGTATAGTGTGAATGGAGAGATTTTTTCAGAAATGCTAGATAAAACGCCAGTGTGGACGTGGATTTTTATTATTCTAAAATACCATTTTAAAACCAAGACGTATTAGTGTAATCGGGGCCGTGTGTATTTTTCACAAGCGAATTGCTGCTGCCACAGGGGCGGGGCAGAGGATCGCGATGAAGGCTCAGCATTGTGATGTCTATTGGACGATGGCATCGTCTATCGACCCAACCCTACTCCAGTGCATCCAAAATTAATCAGGTTTCTTTGGACATAAAACCAGTGATCTCGTCAACACTTAGCTCTACCAGTCACACAATGGAAATAAAAGAAGATGGCACACATATATTAATTACTATTTGACAAATAAGAAAAGCTTTGGTACAGTTTACCGTTTTCTATTAAATAGAATGTAAAGGTGACTAAACTAAACATTACACAAGAAGATAGTGTCAAAAAGAGCGGTCATAAAGAGCGCAGATTAAAGTGAGAAATAAAAAAGGTGAAAATTAACAGATGAAAGGGAAATTGTTTTGCAGAAGTCTGTCTTTACAAAAAAGTTTGATTAATAAACCTGTGTAGGCCAAAATAGAAATAAATAGGTTAAAATAGGTTATAAATAGAAATAACACAGAGCCTAAAAGTGGAAGATGAGAAATTTTGAAGCGCTCTATTTTAGGTGCAAGAAATGGGGACTTATTTTTAGCCGCAGAAATGTTCATGAAGGAAAGAAGAGCATCACGGACCAATTAGCAGGATGAAAGGTGAGGAGTTCAAAGGTGAGGTCTGCTGTTTATGTTAGAAGAAGGGTTACGCTCCGGCCACCACGTATATCTGTGTGCAGGTCTGTTTTTTGTTGTAAGTACCAGAATGTGTTTGTGCAAATGAATTTAGAGTGCATATGTGTGTGTTTACACCCTAGCCATCCGTAAAGGAATGCAGGCCAGATGTTGGTCAGTAGGTCATGGGACTCACCTGATAAGCTAATGTTACAAAACGGTCATCTACTTTTGCAGTTTAGATATTAGTGACTATAAATAGTGTGAGTTGAATGGAACAAAACTTTCAAATGTCCATATTATTACTATTTGACCCAAGCTTATCTATACTCACTCTGTATGTGTGATTTCAGAGGGCTGGAACGGTGCTCTTGGGTTTTCATGTCTGCCACAGTGTCACTGAAGATCCTGAAAAAAAAACAAATAGAGAGAACAGAACTGAACCTTTACTGTGTAATTAACACAATAGATGCTTCAAATTACAGTGTTTAGAGGTGTCTGCCTGCGTTCAAACGATCACTTCCCCCCCAACTCTCTCTCACTATCTCGATCAAAACCAGAGGACATTCCAGATGTCACACAGGCTCAGATTAGAGTCAAGGCAAAGGCAGAAAAACAACAGGAGGGGAAGGATAGAAAGGGAGGGAGAGATGTTCAACTGAGAAGGAGGGGACAGTGAGCCAGGTGAGATGGAAACCAACTTGAATGTGTGTGTGTGTGTGTGGTGGAGGATGGTGGGGGTCTGTCATTTGGCCTGTACATGAAGGTCCTCATCTGTGGCAGTGAGATAGCAGCCTTGGAGTGTGTGTGTATGTGTGTTGTGGGGGACTATATTTTAGGGAGGGGTTTGCCTAGTACCCTGTAGGTCTGAAAGGAGATGAAAGGAAAGGATCTGCAGGAGATAAGAGAGGTGAGCACACACACACACACACACACATTCACATGGCCATTCTGGCTGGAACATACATATCCAGCGGCCATGAGCTCCAACCGCTACAGATACACACACACACCTACGTACACAGCACATCTGTCATATCTCTATGCCTCTACAAACTTTCCGATCTCTAAACAGCACCACACAGGTCTGTCGTACAATATTTTTGCTTGCTTAATCAAGCCTGTGTTGGCTAATTCCCCTGTTGTTCTGGGCAAGCTGTGAAGTCGTTAACACGTGTGAAAATAAACAAAATAGTTGAACAGATGAAAAAAAAAAAACTGCACATGCTAAACATTCTTTGCCAAGTTACAAGAGAAAGTTCAATGGGAATTTTCCTTCTCAGAGAGAAAGTCCACTGATCTTTTTGAAATCACAACACAAAGAGTGTTATTTCACAGATTTACCCAAAGGAAGCATTATTTGATGTTATGTCCTGTTTTCACTAAGTGGTATGGTTCGGTATGCTTTTATCCTCGTTTCCACTGTCACTGTCAGGTACCAAAAATCGAACCGTACTGTACCAAAGGGTGCCTAGCACAACAAAAAAGTTAATGGTTTACATTTTGTTAAAACAAAATGCTAATGGTTTACAGAGAAATGTCACTAGCTTGTAGAGCATGAAAGCCAGGAGAATGAAAACAAAGGAAGTACCATTTTTAAATACACAGCCAAGACATTACACCGTAATAATATATACATATAATAACAAGCCATGGTCGACCCAAGCTTAAACAAACCTTGTTGTCATCCTGATGAACAGCCACAAAGCCAAGAACAAGAGCAGAATCTACCTAGTGCCTCGTAGTTGTTTACAAGGTCGTCTAAAGCGATAACAAACTTCTTGAGCTGATAATAATAACGAGCGCGTGATTATTGAAGTGCTTCTGACATCTGATCCTTTCAGAAACGGACAAACTAAAAAACAAAGACGAATCCGGAATAAACAAAGCAGCAAATGATTTTTTCAGCCAACTAAAAGATGAAGAAACTGCCATGTCATTTGGTGGCTATGTTCTGGAAAAGAGTTATTCAAACCCTTGAGAAATGGCTGCGATAACCTTTACTTTATTCACCAAGAGTTTGTGTTATTGGTGATACATCCACTCTACGGAAGGGAATATCTAAAGCACAGACTGGGCTAGTCATTGCAGGATGTATTATGGCTGTAAGACTGGTGCTGCGAAATTGGAAGAACTTAGATACTACCTCTTTTAAGGATTAGATTGAGCTGATGACATCTACTGCATCATATGAACATATGTTGGCAAGCCTTTGGTATGGTAAAAATATGGTAGCTTTTTACAGAATTTGGAGAGCATGTAAAGACAAAAATTAAAGGTTGTCATTTTGGCTGTTTGTTGTACTGTATTATTTTATATTTAATAGTTGTTATAATTTTTGTTTTTTTATTATTTTTATTATAATTTGTTTACATTATTTTCCACAATGTTGATATTGTATTGTAAATTTTATGTTGTGTGGGGTATATCTTCCAATGCCAAAAAAAACAAACAAACAAAAAAAAAAAACAAATAGGGACTAAATGTATGTTGTGGGTAGTTTTTTTAATTGGTAACCTATCGAAGACCGTAAGGGTCTGTATGTGTTCATATACGTTGCATTTATTTATCTATATTATATAACTGCAAACGTTACAGTAGGCTATTTCACACTGATCATTGATCAGCAGCAGTTATAATCAAATCCTGTTCAAAGAAAGGTTAGTAATGAACATTTATACTCAAGTATTTATGCGTAAAAAGCCTCTGTTTTGTTAGACGTGCTTCTCATATGATATGTGAATGAACCATACAGCTTTACTTTGACATTTCCTCAAGCAAGAATGACATAGACTGACCATTGGTACTCTTTTGGCAGTGGAAAAGCAAACCTGATAAAGGTGACCCTTACCGTACCGTACCACTAGTGGTCATTAGTGGTCAAAAAATTCATTTTAAAGCACATGTCAAACAATGAAAAAGTATCTTGACAGCAGTTGATAAAAAATGAAATTGCAAAGGACACCAGATTTAGTATTTGCATATGCTTTTAAATGCAGAAGTAGTGCCTTTTGTCTTGTAAAGTGCATCAGAAGGGAAAGGACTATTGAAAATATTTGAAGGCAGTGACTTGGTTCTATCATTTAGTTGTAAACTAGACAGAGGCAGATATGGATGTGAAAAAGGGGTGGAGTTTAAGACAACACAATGATTAAAGATATCTAGCAGAAAGAAGTCAGCACAATTGATTATTACAATTGAATTAAAAATGAGAAAAATAATGTGCATGGATAAATTATTCTCAATTTCTGTCACACCAACTCTGTCCAAACTATTTTTTAAAATGTATTTTTAGCTGTTTTCATTGATATTGTCCTTTACTTCTTATGAAGAGGTTAGATCTTATCATTGTTGTTTGGATGTATACGAGTGTGTGTGTTTAAACGAAAGGTCAGTTCTTTCTCTCAGTAGAGAAGATATTTTCAGAGATACATATCTTTATAACAACATATATTTTTTTAATTCCTCGTTCAAAAGAGACTGGGCTTTACACTAGACTAGCAGATGCACAGTTTTTGAACACACACACTTACACCTGCAGTATCTTATCGTGTGATGACCACAGCAACAAAATATTAACCAGAGGAAATGAAAACACAAACATGCCAATACATAGTAACACCCCATGCACATGTGCCTGTAAAAAGACTGCTCTGGAACAATACAACAGATGTTAAAACATGTCAGTCAACTAGAGGAACGTAACAATAGAACCACGTGAAATAATATCAACTCTGCATAACACACGCACAAACACACTCTTGAGTAATTAGCTGTCACCTGAGCCAATCAATGGGGAAGGGGAAAAATCTATTCCAATTTCAAAACTACAGGCTTGCCCGTACACGCAGATGTGGACTGATCAATAAGAAAAGCATCCCACATCAGAAAGACGAGAGAATACAGAACCAAAATCTACTCTCTGACTCAACCATTTCAATGTAAATCACTGCGTGAATAAAGCAGTAGCTCTCATAAATGCTGCGGAACAGGAATACATTTTACAGCATAACCCAGCAGCTTTTTCTAAACGATGAAAGTGAATGGAAATGAGGACTGTCAAGCTCCAAAAAGAACAAAAACAAAAATATCAGTCAGTATGATTATGAATAAGTATAGTTCAAGCTTTCTGAGGCAAAAAAAATAATCATGATTTTTGTGTGTGTGTGCGTGTGTGTGTGTGCGCGCGCCCGCAAACAAGCAGAATTAAGTTATTCAGTAGCTGTCAAATCTGAATCACTTTTGCTTGCATACAAATACAATATCGTACATACCCAGGTCTACATTTCTGGGGAGAGCGAAAGACGAAACTGGAGGTATGTTTGTTTGCAGTTTTTGTTTTTAAAAATCCACCAGAGGCCACTGTGTACTCTTTTTTGATGATCTTAAATTTCTCTTGCACGTTCATTTTTCTCGCACAAATTCACCAGAGGGTGCAATATAAACTTTAGCCAGCCAGGGGTGCATTTCTGAAAACCATCGTCAGCCAACTAAGGTCGCATGTTGCGTTGTTACAAACATAGGTCGTTGATTTGCCGTTTCCCAAGTCCATCGTTCCAACGAACATTCACAAACTGCGTCGCAAATGTGTACGTACTACACAACTACACCTCTAGAGCTATAGTTAGATTCATAGTTCTGGTTGTGTTCTATTCCCAGTTATCCCCCCATATGCCCTATTCCTTTCAAACTTACTAACAATTAAACTTGGAATGTTTAAAAAATATTAAAATCATCTCTTAATTTGCTTCAGAGTATTTTTACAGTTTAGTTTTAGCGATCTTTAAATTGACAACTGTGCTCCCTTCACAATGCATTTTGAAAACATTTATGTCATTCTGAACACAGCCATGCTTCAAGATGGACGCTATAGATAACCTAATATTTAAAAAAGAATTTATGTTACATCTCCAAAGCTTGTGAAACCAAAATATATAGCGTACGTAAATGCTTTTAATTTATAGGTTATTTATTAAGAAACGTATCTGTACTGTATATGACATGGGCCTGTTGGTTAGAACATTTCTGCAGTGGTTTGAATGTGTCAAATTGTAAAAGTAGACTTTTAAAAAAATAAATAAAAAATAAATAATTAAAATTCCTACTTAATAATAATACATTTGTAATAATAATAATAATAATAATAATAAGTTATTATTATTATTCTTATTATGATTATTAAGAATGTTAAAAAAATTTGTGTAGAAGCGGTGGCACAGTAGGTAGTGCTCTTGCCTCACAGCACGAAGGTTGCTGGTTCGAGCCTCGGCTGTGTTAGTTGGCGTTTCTGTGAGGAGTTTGCATCTTCTCCCCATGCTTGCGTGGGTTTCCTCCGGGTGCCCCCGTTTCCCCCACAAGTCCAAAGACATGCGGTACAGGTGAATTGGGTAGGCTAAATTGTCCGTAGT